TCTTTTTTCTTTTTTTTAAGTTTATTTATTTATTTTGAGAGGGAGAGAGAGAGAGTGTGAGCAGGGGAGGGGCAGAAAGGACAGAGGAGAGAGGGGGAAAGAGAGAGAATCTTTTTTTTATGTTTATTTTTGAGAGAGAGAGAGAGAGAGAGAGAGAGAGAGAGCATGAGCAGGGCAGAGGCAGAGGCAGAGAGAGAGGGAGACACAGGCTCTGAGCTGTCAGCACAGAGCCCAACGTGGGCTTGAACGCACAAACCGAACCGCAAGATCACTGAGCCGAAGTTGGATGCTTAACCTAATGAGCCACCCAGGCACCCCAAGAGAGAGAGAATCTTAAGTAAGCTCCACAGCCCAACAAGGGGCTCCATCCCACAACCCTGGGATCGCGACCTGAGCCAAAATCAAGAGAGGGACACTCAACTGACTGAGCCAGGTGTCTGAAGCTGGACCATCTTCCTGCCCCCCGAGGGAGAGGCTAAGAGAACTGCAGAGCGCTGGTCCCCATGTCGCAAAGCTGAGCCGCTGAATGAACACAGGCCACCACTTACCTCCAGGTTTCTTGTTATACGAGTAGATGAAAACCTTACTTGTCTAACACTTGTTAATCCTTACTTGGGAGCTGCTTTTCTGTTCCTTGCAACCAAAATAATTCCTAATTGATTTAGAGTCACATATGGGTGTTGTGGCAGACGGGAAAGCAAAGCGAGATGAGAAATGAGTAATACCCTTGGGTCCGGCAGGCCAGGAGTTGGTGCAGAAAGCTTAGCAGCAGGGGTGTCAGCGGCAGGATGAAAACTCCAGGGGAGTCAGCAGGGTGGGAGGCAACTGCTTCTCCAGACACAATTACACACAAAGGCATAATTCAGAGAAACGGCGCTTTACCTGCATTTTCCATCCCTCACTCTTTTCCCTCCTTTCCTACCTATGCCCTGTACACAACCAGCCAATGACTAGTTTCTGGATTACATTTCCTGTGTTTCTTTTTGCACAAATGCGACGACACATGAATATTCTTAGATCCTCTTCTTTTTTTACATGAAAAGTAGTGTACTGTAGATATTTTTCTGAGCTTTGCTTTTTTCATTTGATGTTATATCCTGGAAATCACCATATATCAGTTCATAAAGATCTTCCTCATTCTTTTTTTACAGCCGGTTACTACTCCACTAGATGGACGTTCTGTAATTTATTCAACCACTCTCTGTGAATAGGCATTTAGGTTGTTTCTAGTCTTTTGCAAATACAAACAACTGCTAATTGCCACAACATACAGCCTTGTACATATGTGTTTTTATATTGTTGGAGGTGTCTCCTGAAGTAAATTCCTAGGATTGTTGGAGCAAAAGGTAAGTGCATATCTAGTTTTGTTAGATATTGCCATATTATGCTCCAAAAGGATCTGCATTCTCATCAGCAGTGTATGAGACTCACTAGAGCCTTATCACAGAATGTGCTGTCATAACTTTTAATTTCCCATGATATTTTACAGATATATACATGAGAAGTGTTATACAGAATTTGCATTTCTTTAAGTATGATTGACTTTGAATATCTTTTTTATGTGTAAGTGCCATTTTTATATCTTTTATGTGAATTGTCTGTTCGCATCTTTTCCCCAATTTTCTATCAGATATACGGTCATTTGTCCCTCAAATTTTAGTTCTTTATCTGTGAGGCTATTGGCCCTTTGTCTATGAAATATGTTGCAAATATTTCTCCCAGTTTTGCAGTTGTCTTTTGTCTTTGTTTATGGTGGGTTTGCCATGCCAAGTTTTTTATTTTTATGTAGTGAAATTTATCAATATTTTCTTTAATTGCCTCTAGATTTCGAATCATTAGAAAGCCCTTCCCTGGGGTGCCTGGGTGGCTCAGTCAGTTGAGTGCCCAACTCTTGATTTCAGCTCAGGTCATGAAGATCTCACTGTTCATGAGATAGAGCCCCACTTTGGGCTCTGTGCTAACAGTGCAGAGCCTGCTTGGGAGCCTCTCTCTCCCTCCCTTGTGTGCTGTCTCTCAAAATAAATAAATAAACTTAAAAAAAAAAAAGAAATATTCTTTTAAAAAAAGGAAAGCTTTTCCCTGCTTGGAGTATGAAGAGATATTCACCCACATTTTTGTGTAATACATGCATGGTTTAATTTTTATTTTATTTAGACTCTTAATCCATTTGGAATGTATTCCTATGTATGATGAGAGGTATGGATATAATTTTATCTCTTTCCAATTGGCTAATTAATTGTCAGAGCAGCATTTATTTAAAAATCCATCTTTGCCTCAGTAATTTAAGATGCCAACTTTATTATATACTAAATTTCATATGCATCTGAAACTATTTCAGGACCTTCTAGTCTAGGTGTCATCAAACTTTTTCTTCAAGTGCTACATAGTAGGTATTTAGGCTTGTAGGCCCTTAAGTCTCTGCTGTTTTAGGGCAAAACCAGCCATAGACAATGCCATAACATTGTCTATGCGAAAACAGCCATAGTTTTCTGACCCCTGTTGTAGATTATCCCACTGGTCTATTTGTCTATTTTTGCATCATAATTCATTCTTTTAATATAAAGACTTTTTAATATGCTGTAATGTCTGGTAGGGCTAGTTTTCCCCTGCTGAATTCTTTTTAAAAACAAATATAAGGGATGCCTGGGTGGATCAGTTAAGTTGGTTAAGCATCAGACTCTTGGTTTCAGCTCAGGTCATGAAGATCTCACCATTTGTGAGATTGAGCCCCACATTGGGCTCTGTGCTGACAGCACAGAGCCTGGTTGGGATTTTCTCTCCCTCTCTCTCTGCCCCTCCCTGCTCGTGCTCTCTCTCTCTCTCTCTCTCTCAAAATAAATAAACTAAATAAAATAAAATAAAATAAAATAAAATAAAATAAAATAAAATAACAAATATAAAATAGACCAGTGGAAAGATGCACCTATTTAATGTTTTTGTTTTTTGTTTGTTTGTTTGTTTGTTTTTTGGTCTAGTTCATAGACCTTTTTTTTTGTGTGTGTGTCCTTTGTGTCTACTTTTTAGATTTATTATGGCTTGTTTTTTCTAACTTCTTTTTTTTTAATATGAAATTTATTGTCAAATTGGTTTCCATACAACACCCAGTGCTCAGAGGTGCCCTCCTCAATGCCCATCACCCACTTTCCCCTCCCTCCCACCCCCATCAACCCTCAGTTTATTCTCAGTTTTTAAGAGTCATAGACTAACTTTAAAAACAGTTTCCAGAGGTGTCTCAGTGTCTCAGTCGGTTGAGCGTCCAACTTTGGCTCAGGTCTTGATCTCACAGTTCGTGAGTGTGAGCTCCGCATCAGGCTCTGTGCTGACAGCTCAGATTCTGTGTCTCCCTCTCTCTCTGCCCCTTCCCTGCTCACACTCTTTCTCTCTCAAAGATAAATAAACACCAAAAAAAAAAAAAAAATTATGTGTAAAAAAAAAGTTTCCAAAGAAGAGTTCCATAGATGCTTTGAGCAATGTTAGTGTAATCACTCGAGTCTCCCGAGGTAACTTAGAGGCCTGGCACTGATCTGAATGCATCTGGTATGGATTGTTAAAAAGTTAAGTCATACAACCTACTTTATGGTTACAAATGTTCCATGCATATTTAAAAAATGGAAGTAAAAAAGATCTGCTGAGAAAATATTTTGCAATGTTACGGTAATCATCGAGGAAATCTGAAATATTCTGGGATGTTACAACCAGAGCTAGAAGGAGCTTTGGCAAGAATTTCTCCCCCTGTGGTAACTACCTTGCCAGCTGCAAATGATATGTCATTCTTCATAATCTAAGATCATTTGAGTTATAAAAATAATCCTGTCAATCATCTCTGACTTACTAATGGATCATTCTTCAGGTGAATAGTTTTAAATAATAGGAAGCTTCCCAGTTTTATAAGATCCAGATCCTTGTTCTGTGGGAAATGTTAGCTACTCGTTTTTGGTAACCTGGTCGTAATATGGCGGTACTTACTTTAGTCAGTCCTGCAGCTGGATTGAGTAGGTTTTAAGAACAGGGATTCAGAAGTTGTGAGTGAATAGGAAGTTTATATAACACACTAAAAACTGCTAGGAACCAAAAGCACTGAACTGTAGTCAAGCACGGTCTCTCCATATATGTGAGTTTCATGGTTTTGACAGCTATGTAATTTTTACTGAAAAGGAAAAATTATCTTTATAAAGGCACAAAGTGGGTTATTTTTTATAAATGCATGACTCACTTTTGGTTGCCATCACGTGGGTACAGGATGAAAACCACAGTGTCCCTTCAGTTGATGCCAGGATTACTTTTAGAGAAGAAACGTTTTATCACTCATTGTAGGAAAAGTGACTTATTCTGTGAGTAGGGAAGTCAGAAGCTTATAAAATAAGAAATGGCTGGAGTGCCTGGGTGGCTCAGTTGGTTAAGCGTCCTACTCTTGGTTTCAGCTCAGGTCACGATCTCATGATTTTGTGAGATCAAGCCCCACGTCGGGTTCTGAGCTGGCAGCGTGGAGCCTGCTTGGGATCCTCTCTCTGCCCCTCTCCTGCTCACGCTGTCTCTGTCTCTCTCAAAAATAAATAAACTTAAAAAAAAAAAAAAAAACGTTTAAGCTGTTCTCTATGCAGAAAGTGAGTAGATGGTGATTGGAAGTGAGGTCCAGTGAAACCAGGGAGGCAAGGCCATGTGTGGTGAACAGGGCAGCCTACTGAAGCCATCACAAGCTGGCAGACATCACTGCCAACATTGTGCCCCTGGAACAAACATCTTTTTGTTTAAGAGTAATAGATCTCCAATTGTTCATGGAAGGTGGTAGAGATTGTGACTTTTGTTTTCAATGCAGCGTGACTGATAATTTGAACAGGAACGTATCAACGACATAGCAAACTTAAAAAATTTTGTTCTTTGGGGAATGTTCCTTTAAAATGCACTCAGTGGGGAAAGTTCTTCCCATGGTCCTGGAGGAAAATGCCAATAGGCCTGAATGTTCTGGTTGGCTACACACACACGGTTTGGTACCAAAAGTCCTGGGGTTCCTTTAAATTACAAAACACAGTCTCATTTCAACAATTAGTCCCATTTGTCCAAGTTTCTAACTTCCGTTGAAACTGCAAGCTACTCCCTCCTCCTCCGATCCTGCTCCGTGAGGCCCGGTGACTCCTGGGAAGGTACAGGGCTGGCTTCTTTATAAATTACCTCCTCTCACCCACCTCCACCCCCAGCTATGTACTATCTCTAATCTTTCCTGTGTCGGGGCTAGGGTGGAAGGGAGGGAAAGTTCTCACCTGACTGATGCTATGGGAAACCTGTGAATTCTCTGGGCCTGGGAGATGTTTGAAGCGGACTCTTCTCATGGAGACTCTTTTGCAGCTCTTTGGAGACTTTGGAGCTCTTTCATCAGCTCTTGATGAAAGCTATCCGTGGGGGCTTCTCACAGGGACTTTGCTGGGCTGGTGGATGTATTCCCCTCTAGCTCCTCGTTTACTCTTTCTGCAGCCTCTAGGAGTGCCAGGACACTTCCAGCCTTTCCCTGCTGAGATTCCTCTGCCCGTCCGGTTGGCACAGTGGGCAGGACCTTAGGCAACCCCGTACTGGCTCCTCTGATCCTCGGGGACACTTGTGCTCCGTATCGCCCACCACCTCTGAGACGGCAGCCCAGTTCTTCTCATGCTGGCGGTCACTGCTCAGATTTCTGTGGGACTTAGTAAATGCCAGTCCACTCCCTCCCTGCAGGGCAGGGCATAGTTAGCCCTTCTCACCAGCTTGGTGCTGAGGGGCAGACACTAGGTGAGAGAGGCATGTATCAAAGTAGCCCCACAGACCTTTATAAAGGGAATCCTCACATATCATCTCCCAGCCCTGCACACCTTCTCCGGAGGTGAGAGGTTAATACTCCTCACCAGTTCTCAAAACCCCTGTATTCCCTAAGTTCTCCAGGGTGGTCTGCCTCCTGGTTCAGTTTGGTATTTAATGTCTTGTATCTTGAAGCTATAACTGAAATTTCTTTTTTATGTTTACTTATTTATTTTGAGAGTGAGAGCGAGAGCGAGAGCGAGAGCGAGAGCGAGAGAGAGAGAGAGAGAGAGTGCGCACAAGTAGGGGAGGAGCAGAGAAAGGGAGAGAGAGAGTCCCAAGCGGGTTCTGTGCTGTCAGCACAGAGCAGGACGGGACTTGGTCCCACAAACTGTAAGATCATGACCTGAACCAAAACTGAGAGTTGGACACTTAATGGGTCCACCCAGGCACCCCTGAAGCTGTAACTGAAATTTCTAATACAGGGGCGCCTGGGTGGGGCAGTCGGTTAAGCGTCCGACTTCAGCCAGGTCACGATCTCGCGGTCCGTGAGTTCGAGCCCCGCGTCGGGCTCTGGGCTGATGGCTCAGAGCCTGGACCCTGTTTCTGATTCTGTGTCTCCCTCTCTCTCTGCCCCTCCCCCGTTCATGCTCTGTCTCTCTCTGTCCCAAAAATAAACGTTGAAAAAAAAATTTTTTTTTAATAATAAAAAAAATAAAAAAAATAAAAAAAAGAAATTTCTAATACAAAAGCCATTTCAGGGAAAGTAATTTTTTGGTTGGGGAAGAGGAAATTGGTCAGATTCGGACCTAATACCTTAGCAGCCAGCCACAAATAGATATAATTATTTAACTTTCATAGCTATGTGAACCATAGTCTAGCTGTGGAAAAAAAAACTTTTTCCCAGGCCTGAGATCTGAGAGAAATTTGCCACAGAGACGTACTGATCATTGTTTTTAACAATTTTTCTAGGTTTATTTTTATTTATTTTGAGAGAGAGATAGAGAGCATGTGGGGGAGGTGCAGAGACAGAGGGAGACAGAATCCCAAGTAGGCTCAGTGCTGTCAGCACAGAGCCCGACGTGGGGCTGAAACTTATAAACTGAGATTCTGACCTGAGCCAAAATCAAGAGTCAGTTGCTTAACTGACAAAGCCACCCAGGCACCCCCTGATCATTGTTCTTTTTCGCTTGTTTTTATTTTTATTTTATTTTTAAAGTTTAGTTATTTTTGAGAGAGAGAGAGAGAGTGTGTGCACAAATGGGGGAGGGGCAGAGAGAGAGAACGAGAGAGGGAGATACAGAATCCAAAGCAGGCTCCAGGCTCTGAGCTGTCAGCACAGAGCCTGACACGGGGCTCGAACCACCAAATGTGAGATCATGACCTGAGCCGAAATCGATGCTTAACTGACTGAGCCACCCAGGTGCCCCCTGATCATTGTTTTTAATCATGATTCTTTGACAGATGAAAACGTTTTTAATTACACAATGATGTATATTAATCATCCTCTGATGATGTGAAATGGCCTTTGGATGGGGCTTCAGAAAGTTTACTGTGGCCTTGAATCTGCTGTGAACTTGCTGTGTCACCTTGAACAAGGCACCTCTCTTTTGGGCCTCACTTTATTCTGCTGAAAATAAGAGATGATCCCTGGGATTCATTACCTAGTTTTCTGTGAGTCTGTGAAGCCCTCAACACTGTATATGTGACAAGTACAATGTTCAGGGATCTTAGTAGGAAGGTATGGTGGGTTAACATGTGCCCACATCTTAGCACCCAGAACCTGAGAAATGTGACCTAATTCGGAAAAAAGGTCTTTGCAGATATAATTAAGAATCTTGAGGGGCGCCTGGGTGGCTCAGTCGGTTAGGTGTCCGACTTCGGCTCAGGTCATGATCTTGTGGTTCACGAGTTCAAGCCCTGAGTTGGGCTCTGTGCTAACAGCTCGGAGCCTGGAGCCTGCTTCTGATTCTGTGTCTCCCTCTCTCTCTGCCCCTCCCCCCATTCATGCTCTGTCTCTGTCTCAAAAAATAAACGTTAAAGAAAAAAATTAAAAAAAAAAAAGAATCTTGAGATGAGGGTGCGTCTGGGTGGCTCAGTCAGTTGAGCACCTGACTTTGGCTCAGGTCATTATCTCACGGTTCGTGAGTTCCAGCCCCATGTCAGGCTCTGTGCTGGCAGCTCAGAACCTGGTGCCTGCTTTGGATTCTGTGTCTTCCTCTCTCTGTGTCCCTCCCCTGCTTGTGCTCTGTCTCTCTTTCAAAAAAATAAGCAACTATTTTATAGGGTGGAAGAAAAGAAGAAAAAGAAGAAAAGAAGAAGAAGAAGAAAAAAGAAGTAAAGAAGAAAAAAAATAGTAACTATTTTATAGGGTGGTTGTGAAGATGAAGTGAGATACTAAATGACTTCGTCCAGTGCCTGGTTCAGAGTCCTAGTCCTTCTCCTTTAAAAGAAAACAGGGCAGTGTCTCAGAGGAGGATTTAAACAACAGGGGTGTGCTATTCCCTGCCTCTAAAACTTAAAAGATGAAAGTTTCTTGATTTTTCAGCTGTGATGCCAGCTGCGGTGGGAAGGCGTCAGCCAATCCCAGACTTATCTTGCCATTCTGAGTACCAGTGACAGAGACCATAACCTGGAAAGGTTGTGTAGTACAGCCATGATTCAAGGAGATCTAACTATCTCCTTGAATAGTCGCGGCCAGCCACTCTGATTTGTGTCTACTGTAGAAACCTCTCTCTGGATCACATACGTGCAGCTCCAACTACCTGGTCACCAGTCACCAGCAACCTGGGGCATCCTGCAGCGTCAGGTCTGGGCCCCTTGGATGATCGCTGTACATTACAGTTTATCTGATACTACATTTAACTCTACTATATCTGTGTATTAGCTTGTTTAGGCAAATAGGACCTGTGTTCTTAGCATCTTGCATGCTGTACATTTATTAGGCAAATAATAAAAATTAGTTTGGTGAAATTAGAGAATCATACAAGACTGAAGCAAAATCAAAATTAAAATTCTATGAATGAGTTACAGGAAAACATTCTTAAAATTAAAGAAGTTTGGATAATGAAAATAAACGTGATGATGGCATAACAATTACAAACAGAATGTCCTAGAAAGGTGCCTAAATTAAGAGATTTCCAAATTTATGTAAGGTTACAGACACCCTTTAAGGTTAAAATTGAGCATTTAAGAAAAGTTAGTGGCATATGGTCCACTTCTGGGTATCTATGTGAAGAAAACAAACACCATTTCAAAAAGGTATCTGTACCCCATGTTCATTGCAGCATTTTTTACAATAGCCAAGGTATGGTTGCAAACTAAGTATCCGTTGGTGGATAATGGCTAAAGATGTTATGAGATATATAAATATATAATGGAGTATTATTCAGCTATAAAAAAGAAGGAAATCTTGCCATTTGAGACAAAATGCATGGATCTTGAGGGCATCATGCTAAGTGAAATAAGTCAGTGGAGAAAGACAAATACTGAAAGATCTCACTTACATGTGGAATTTAACTCCCCTCCCTCCCCAAAACACAAACAATCCCCTTGAAAATGCCAAACTCATAGATACAGAGAATAGGTGGGTTGTTGCCAGAAGTAGAAGGTTGGCGGGGGGATGGGGGGGGTGGTGCAAAATGGGTGAAGAGAGTCAAAAGGTACAAACTTCCAGTTTATAAAAAAATAAGTCCTGGGGATGTAACATACAGCATGGTGACTATAGTTAATAATACTCTATTGTGTATTTAAAAGTTGCTAAGAGAGTAGATCTTAAAAATTCACATCGTGGGGCGCCTGGGTGGCTCAGTTGGTTAGGTGTCCGACTTCAGCTCAGGTCATGATCTCGCGGTCTGTGAGTTCGAGCCCCGCATCGGGCTCTGTGCTTACAGCTCAGAGCCTGGAGCCTGCTTTGGATTCTGTGTCTCCCTCTCTCTCTGACCCTCCCCTGTTCATGCTCTGTCTCTCTCTGTCTCAAAAATAAATAAACATTAAAAAAAAATAAAATAAAATAAAAAAATAAAAAAAAATTCACATCGTAAGAAAAAAATCGTAACTGCGTGGTGATGGATGTTAACTTATTGCAGTGATCATTTTGCAATATGTGCAAATATTAAATCATTACATTGTACACCTGAAACTAATATAATGTTCTATATCAATTATATCTCAATTTTTTGAAAGCTGATGGCCCCCAAAAGGTGGCATTTGAAATAAAATTCTTCTTTTATTTTTTACGTTTATTTATTTTGAGAGAGAAAAAACATGAGAGGGGAAGGGTCAAAGAGAGAGGGAGAGAGAGAATCCCAAGCAGGCTCTTGATCTCACGAACCTTGAGATCATGACCTGAGCAGAAAACAGGAGTCAGACACTTAACTGATTGCGCCACCTGGGCACTGCTGAAATAAAATGATTCTTAATGATAAAAAGTAAATGAAAGGGAGACTAATTAGGATTAATTAGAGATACAGCTGGAAAGGGCTGTGTGAAAATAAATTCTATGTCTGTCTGAGTGTTTAAAATTGCATAGGTAATATCTTTTTAGGTAGTAGTATTAACTTTGGGCTCAAACTCAGCATTAAGGCCATCATAAAACGATGCCCACATGGTTGGTAGATTTTTTTTCTCTGAAAATGAGGTTTTGCAGCTAACGTGAACTTCTCTGGACTGTTAGGAAACCCTCCTCACTCTTGTCCTCAATGCGCTGCCGCTGTAATCACGGTACCAGCTGCTGCTGCGCTTTCCTTGAAGACCTAGAGACGAACCGCAGGTGCCTCCCGACGTTGGGAAATCACAGGTTGTCTTTATTATAACACTGATGAGGGCAATGCAATGGGAGACAACAGGGGGCTGTTTAAATTCTGTAGCTATTAAGATCCCAAATCAGAAAGCGTTTGAGCTCGCCTGTAAGGCACTTCTCTGTGACTGCGGCCTTCTCTTTTGGTGCTTGAGACCGAGAATGTCTGAGCAGGGAACCTTAACTTGAGCACCAAAGATTGACATAAAGTTCATGTTTCATCGCTTCCTCTTCAGATAACCTGTTAATAATGGCACAAATTTATCATCTTTGATCCTTTTCCTGTATTCTGTCAAAAGGAGATTGATGTAAGTATATAGGCAGAGACCCAAAGAAGCTCAACTTTCTCCCTCCCTCCCTTTTTTTTGGTAGGTGAGCACTTTATCACCTCAGATTTTTCAGCTTATGGATTTTAAGTACGTACTTCTGCATCTGAATGTTTCCTTCTATCCAACCTTTCCAGGCCAACATTATCTTGTGTAGAGTGCACGGGGCACAGCTCACAAATCCAGGTATGGCAAGTTGACTGTCACTGCTGAGGCTGCCATTGTTTGGCTCCTAAAGCTCTCTGCCACTTCCCGGCCGTGCCGAGTTACAGAAATCTTTGGCAGAGTTGGGAACCCATGGGCCTCTAAGCCAGTCTCCCTGCAGAAATGGATGTAGCCCTTTTAGTTTGTAGTTTAAAGTGGCTGTCAGACTTCTTTCTGCTTCTCCCAAACATTCAGCCTCTTCCCTTATACGTTATTTTCCTCAATGGGCTGAGACTCTGGAAAACAGAAGCCAGTTAGGTCTAATAGGAGCTCCTTCTGCTCTCTTGCTGTAGAATTCTTTTCAGGTAAGGAGGTAGAGGGAAAGACACAGGTGGAAAATTGAGTAGCTCAAAGCACTATTTAGTCACAGTAACTAATTCTAGAGATAATGACACTAAAAATTAAAAAAAAAATTTGATCAAGACTGTTATCCGTAGTTTAGGTTCACAGCAGAATTGAGGGGGAGGTACAGAGACTTCTTGTATATTTCCTGCACCACACCTACCATACATAGCCTCCACCATTACCAACATCTTCCACCACAGTGTTAGTGATGAGAGATAGAAGCAGAAAAACGTTCACCTTTAGCCCAGTTGGCTGACCTGTAGCCACAGGTCCTGTCCCTGTGCTACGTCAATAAGCTTACTAAGGTGCACCATACAATGTCTTAAGAATTCTTTCTTGGCAGTTGTGCTCCACAATCCCACAGTATTTTGGGTGGCCCGTATGGGGACAACGGGGTGACTCCAAGAGCATCAGTGCAACTTGGTAAGTCTTCTTTACCCCGTCTTTGTTTCCTTCCAGTTTTTTTTTTTTTTTCTTTATCAGAGATGTCCTGAATAGTTTGACCCTTTGGAACATGTCTTGTTTGAGTGCTCAAGAGAGAACCTCTTGCCTGTGGCCACACTGTGGGGAGGAATGGACTCTTGCTTCCTATTACCTCAGCCCTTAACAGCGCTAAGCTCAGAAAGCAGATTCTCCTTGTTTTTTTTTTCTGTTCTTTTAATGCATGTATTCTTGTCAGGCACAGGACAGCCACATGTGTCATTAGGATGTCCACCTATCTCAAGACTTCTGTGTAAGGTTTCCTCCTAAATAACTCGATGAGCATAAAATCCGAGATAGGTCTGACTGCATGCTTCCCAAAAAGGATTGGCCAGAACTATTACCCAGTTGGGACACTCACCCAATAGGGGACTGCTCCCTTGGGACTGGATCATGGATAAAGCTCATGGATCATGGATAAAGCCTGGATTAGATAGAAGTTCCATACTTTTGTTTTTTTCCATGTCTCTCATTTGTCCTTACCCATGGGTTGTTTGGCGTTCTTGATCCTGCTCTCTAGATTGAAAGTACTTCTAGCTTAGATACAGGATAACTTAATATGATGTAAAATAGCTGCCCCTTCTTGGCAAAGTCCAGGACCTTTACCCCATCCATTAGTACTAGATCTAGAGGCTTACAAAGGGTATTATTATTGGTCATCAAATATATCAACTGCCCCAAAATGGAAAGAGGCAGCCCCAGTCTCTACGTAGTTTCAGTCCATTCACTGGCACCCATGGTAGTCTAGAATGCAAAGGGGAAGTGAAGGGAGGTCGACATCCCTTCTCATGTAGTACAAAGTTATCAGAGTAGTTGAGAAAGAGGGATGCCTCCCACCACTTGGAACCCCAGGACCTTTGGCAATATTCCTAATGGGATCCAGTCAGAAGCTGAGGGGGATTTTGGTAATGGACTCCTACTTAGTTGACGTACTCTCCTAGTTTTGTAGGAATTGACTATGGGATCAACTTCCTCAATTTCAATTCCCCTTTGGGCCGTCTCCTAACACATTGGAGTCAAGTTGGACAACAGGATTTAAAGAAGAAGTTCCCATCTTCTTTTGTAATAATGCCTGGCCTCAATATTCTCTGGAGGATGATGAAAAATGGCCCATTAATGGGTCCTTAAATTTCAATACTATTTACCAATGGGACCTTTTTTTGTAGGTGTCAGGGAAAACGGTCTGAAATCCCATATGGTCAGGCCTTTATGGCCCTGTACCAAAACCTTGATCTGTCCATAGTCCTCTAGGGGGCCTAAGGATACCCCCTTATCCTTAGGGATATGGATATGACCCTCCCGCCCTGAAGCCACCATCAGCTCAGCTGCCTCAGGCCCTTCTACTTCTGTTAATCTGCCACCTTCTCTGTGTTCTGTCCTGTTCTCTCTGTGTCCCACCCCCTGCCCAGGTTGCTGCTAAGATCCTGTACCTGCCTCCCTCTGTTTTTGCCGAATCACTCATCTCCTCTTTGTTTGCTTCTTTCGTGTGTCAAATCTGGAATATATCTTGAGAGGACTGGATGAATGTTGCCTGACTCTTGATATACATGGGGTTTCCTGCCTCCTCTATTTTCCAGGCTAATGGCTATAATAATTGGAGTCGAATGTCTGGTTAGTCTACCTCGGGACAGGGACTTTAAGGAATATTCCCAAGCAGATGCTGAAACTCTGTTCGTTTCCTGGAGGTTCCCTGTCTTCTCCAGCCTGGCATGGATTGCTTATTTTCACTTTTTGTGTGTGGAAAGAAAATGTGTGTCTGTTCATCTGTCCAAGCTGACAAGCTTTAGGACCATGAGTCCTCTTTCTTGGCAGCCCCCCTGCCCCCCCCCCCCCGGGGCTTTTATTATCCACCTCCCCACCTCCAGCCTTCCTGGCCTAACCTCACTTCTTCTGCAGCCCCTCCCCCTCCCCTCATTTCTGCACCATCATGCACGGGGCTTGCATAACCTGCTCCTATACCATCCCCAGGCCTCCCGTGCCAATGGCTCCTGCTCCCCTACCCTCGCTATCAAGGAACAAAGAGCACCCCTCCCTGCACTTAAACTGCCCACTTCATTTCCCTACTGGTGCCCCAGGTGAAAATTCATAGTGAGGAACAAATTGATTAACTTTTAGCTGGCCCCAGGTGCAACATAGTAACCTAATTTAAATTTGTTAGTTTAATTAAGATAGACATGTCTTTAGAGTTACCAGCATTAAATGTAAAACTTTTATCCTACCAAGGCTTACTAAAGTGCAAATAAGCTCATGTTATGTCTGTTGCAATCTGTCAGGAAAAGATGGCTTACTACCATAGCTAAATTTGTGTGTCTCGAAGTTCTCATGGGTAATCGTTAAAATAGCTGTCAGGGGCGCCTGGGTGGCTCAGTCGGTTGAGCGGCCGACTTTGGCTCAGGTCATGATCTCGCGGTCCGTGAGTTTGAGCCCCGCGTCGGGCTCTGTGCTGACAGCTCAGAGCCTGGAGCCCATTTCAGATTCTGTGTCTCCCTCTCTCTGACCCTCCCCCGTTCATGCTCTGTCTCTCTCTGTCTCAAAAATAAATAAATGTTAAAGAAAAAAAAAATAAAATAGCTGTCAAAATATTTGGGAACTTGGAACTTTAAAGTTTGTCTAAGTTAGATGACAAATTGGGTTAAACACATTGGATATCTAAGTCTTTTCCAAATAAGACAGAATACTAAAGTATTGGTTACTGATTGTAGGTTTGTCTGCTTTTAGCTTCTTATTGCAGAGAAACTGAGGATACTTGGGTCTGTTGGTAAACATGCTTTATGCTTTATTGAGAGATCATAGTATGGAAGAACATGTTTTAAGAAATTATGAAATATATTTACAAATTTCATATCTAAAGAATTCTGGTATAGCAGTTTGCAATTGGTTACTACTTAATTTTCACTGGACACTAAAATTTCTAAGAGTTAAAATTCTGCTAAATGTCATGAAGACTGATGGAAGTAAGAGAAGCAACTCTGTGCAAGAAAAGATGTGTTTTTAATAAGAAAGACAAAAGGAGTGGAAATACATAGGACATAGGAAATACTTAGGACAAAATCTGAATGAAAAAGGAAGTTGTAGAAAGTTTGTAAGAGAAATCTTTGGAAAAGAATTTTATATGTGGTCAGTACTAAGGTTGAAATGAATGGATTTTAAAAGTATACTGGTGTAGGATTGAAATTCTGCTTTTCTCTCTCTGTTAAAATGACAGTTTTCAGAGCTCCTGGGTGGCTCAGTTGGTTAAGCATCCAGCTTCAGTTCAGGTCATGACCTTGCAGTTTGTGAGTTCAAGCCCCATATCGGGCTCTGTGCTGACAGCTCAGAGCCTGGAGCCTGTTTCAGATTCTGTGTCTCCCTCTCTCTGATCCTCCCCTGCTCACACTCTGTCTCTGTCCCAAAAGTAAACATTAAACACATTTTTTTTTAAATAAAAAAAATAAAATGACAGTTTTCTTAGATTGTTGGACTGCTCTTGATAAGAATATGTAAACAAAGTTTTTTCTTCTCTTTACTTCATCTGCCCAGAAAACCAAACTTCTATGTTTTGCCTTTTTAGGTCTTTGATTACTTAAGAAAGTTAAAACTTCTCAATGTTAAAGGAGTTAAGTTTTACTAACAATTGTATAATCTTTTGTAGAATCCCTTATTGCCACCTTGGTTAAATGTAAATATTGAATTTTTAATGATCTATAATCCAATTGAGGCATTCGCTTTAAAACTTTCTGAGGTTTTTAACAAAATCCCCTCAGATTTGAATTGTAAATGAAGTCTTTTTTACTAAATAGGCTTGTTTATTTGGTATGTTAAGTTACTTGGAAAGCACTGTCAAACCAATAATAATTAGTCTTAGGTTGTTGCTCCAACTATTCTAGAAAATATATGAAATTCCTGAAGTTTTAATATCTGCTGGTATAAGGTCATTACTTGAATTATTGAAATGTGCACTACAGAAATAACCGGATTTCCTTTTCAAATGAGCTCTCATATCAGATCTTTAACTGTGTCCATTTCTGAGTTGTTTGTGTGTTTGTTTTTTGGTCATTTATGGTTATTGTTCTGATGCACTTGCAAAATCTGTTTTGTCTTCAAGGAGATTCATAAAAAGGACTTTTGACAAATACAGGTTTTTGATACCTGTAAAATCATAAAACTGAACTGGGTAAGAATTTCCAGAAGTAATGGGAAAGTTGCATTCAAACTGAGCAAAAATTAATAACATAGGACTGAATGAACTGAGAAAGATGATAAAATATTCCATTATGGACAAATGGAAGCATTTAATTTTTTTTCCCTACCTGAACCTTCTAGAATTCAGAAACTGAGTATTCTTTCTTCCATGGCAATTATAATTATTTTTGTACATTGAATAAGCATCTATTCTTCTTGTAATAGTACACCACTGGAAACATTGGTTAGATTACCAAGGCTTTGACTGGAATGTCATATTTGAGAAAGACATGCAGAGACTGAGGTATGACCAGACAGCTCTAAGGAATTAATGCTGAGTTTATGGAGCCAATAAAGCTCCTTGAGAATGTTAGCCTGATACCTTGCATACAGAGTTCCCAGCAACCTTAACAGGTGAGTAGAGAATGTTACTTCCTGCCTGTGCAAGAAACCTCAGGATATTTTGAGGACCTTGAGAAGAGGGATACACCCAAATCTATAGGTATTGCAGGAAAGTCTGATGGCAAATATTTAGCTTGGCTCTGGCTTCAAGAGGCTATTAAAAGTTTAATCTAAAGATTCCTTATAGGGGCACCTGGGTGGTTTAGTCAGTTAAAAGTTTGACTCTTGCTTTTGAGTCAGGTCATGATCTCACAGTTCATGGGATTGAGCCCCCCATCAGGCTCCCTGCTGACAGTGTGGAGCCTGCTTGGGATTCTCTCTCTCCCCCAATCTCTTTGCCGCTACCCCACCCATGAGCTCTCTCTCTCAAAATAAATAAATAATAACAAAAAAGGATTCCTTATATAAAGTCCTAGCAAAGCAGATTTTAAAGAATCTGTGTGATCAATCACTATTGTTGCTCAGCTTGTGTAAATAATCAGGCCAACCTTGTTATAACTGGACTTGTTTTACAAATGAATTAGTCTTGATTTTGCCCTCTCTAGAAATAAGGGTGAATTTAGAAATATTATCTTTCAATAATGCATCCTTATGGATGTTAGATTCTAGGTTTGATTAATTCTCTTTAAATGTTTGTTGTTTGCCTAAGCTGGACTACTTGAGGAGAATTTCAGACCTATGGCCATAATAACTCATATATAATCTTTCTGCTTATTACTCTATGGAGATAATAAAAGGGACATCATGGGCATATGACTATTTAAACAGCTGGACAATGGGATGGACTCCCCAACAAATGAGTAACTCAGCTATCACCTTGATCAATTCTATGTGGCTGGAATAACAAAATTGCTCCTTAAAAGTCAGAGCATACCCCACTCCATGGAGTTAACTACGAACTTGCGGAGATAATGGATGGCCCCCACCTTCCTTATAATTGGATTGGAGAATGCACTTGGGGATGCCCTTATCTCCTGGGACAAGTCATCTCCCACTTGCCAGCAATTCCTTGTAATTAGATATTAAGGCTAGACACCAGGCAAAGAAGGCTTCTTAATGGTTTTATCCCTTAGTCCTATTTGTCCCAGGAGCCACCTCTATTGATGTAAAATTACAAGCAGAGCCTCTTGCAAAGCATACAGTGGCCATCTTTAACCACACCCAAGAAGTCACCCCCATACCAGCACATATAGGCATGTTTCTATTACTAAAAAGAATATTTCTTGTTGGCCTATGATAAATGTTACATGGGACTCTCTGAGCCATTGGAGGCCTTTCTCTTATCCTCAAACTCTCAAAATTTTAACTGAATATTCCAACCCACAAATAGGCTCATGGAAACAAATTTCTTGACTACATAGTCCTTCTTATTGATACACCCTGGAAGGATTATATCAAATATGGGATAGATATATGTAGCTTACTCCTATGATAGGACAACTAAGCCAAAAGGTCCTTTTATGATGGGAACAGAAAAACCATACCCCTGATTCATGGTCCGATAGTACTTGCCGAATGGAACGTCTCCCCCCAAGAAGTCTGTGACCATACCATTATTTTATAGGCAATATTTTGGTTTGCTACTGATTAGACAAGGCAACCAGGCATCAGATAGCTTGCACCTAATGAAACACAATGGATATCAGTGGTTATGTGACCCAAATTTGTGGCCCTGGCTTCCACCGGGCTGGACTGGAAGATGTACTATAGGTTATGCCTGGATGCACGGCCATAGCACTAGGACTGTCATAAGTCCAGCTAATCTTCCATATTTAAAGCAACGATGGAAAAGATCCATGTTCCATTGGTATGAGCATCTGACATCTATTTTTCTTCCATCAGTAGGTTTAGAAGATGGCACACAGAGGCCCTTAATAAATACACAATTAAGGCCTCAAATGATTCTCAAAATAGCATTACATTATTAAACACTAAAGTAACTCAAATATGTAAAGCAATTCTACAAAATAGAATGGTATTAAATGTCTTAAGAGCAGCACAAGGAGGAATGAATGGCATTATTAAAGTGGAATGTTGTGTCTATGTTCCAGATTTTAACAAAAATATAACAGGATTACTTACAGATATCAATAGTCAAACTATTCCTTCTGAAGACTCTACATTGCCACTTAATGACTGGTTATATTCCTGGTCAGGAAGTGGACTATGGTCTATGCCAAATGGTCTTCTCATTGCTCTTATTTTCATTATAATATTAATACTAATGCATTGTCTCATTTGCTTTGTTCTGTCCTATTGTCAAGATACAAGCAAGCAATTCCTGACTCCTTCACCCAGCTGACAGCTTACTACTGCCCAGATGTTCACTGTGGACTCTACAGCAGTGGCCTTCTGTAATCTACTTGTAGAAACAGATAGTGACCAATTTCAGTCTATAGGGACATCTCTACAACCATCTTTTTCTGTCAGCTTGAAGAAGTTCAGAAGATGAGCCCTTCACCCTTCAACAACCTTAAAGATTTAAGGACCAAAATTGTTAAGGGGAGAAATGAGGGATAGAAGCAGAAAAATGTTCACCTTTAGGCCAGTAGGCTCACCTACAGCCTGCATAGTTTTGATAAGGATCAAATACATGCTGGTTGCTACATTCTTAAAGGGTTTCATGACTGCCTGTACATCTCACCATTAGTTAATATTGAGCTGAATGATAAGTACCAGAGAAATCTTGGGAAAGTAGTTTTAGGAGTAGAAATTTAAAGAAAACATTTATTAAAAAAAAATTTTTTTTAATCTTTATTTTTGAGACACACACACACACACAGACTGTGCGAGTGGGGGAGGGGCAGAAAGAGAGAGAGACACACACACACAGAATCTGAAGCAGGCTCCAGGCTCTGAGCCGTCAGCACAGAGCCCAACGTGGGGCTCGAACTCACGGACCGGGAGATCGTGACCTGAGCTGAAGTCGGACGCTTAACCGACTGAACCATCCAGGCGCCCCTCAAAGAAAACATTTATGATTTAACACTCTATGTACATCCCCTCCCCCTTGAGGACTAAGCATATAACCACCACCATCATAGAGCAAAAGTGCAGATTTTTCTGCCCATGGGTCCTGACCCCAGCTACTTAAATAAACTTACTAAATTGTACCACACAATGTTTCAAGAATTCTTTCTTGGACTTTGCATTCCAAGATCCCACAATAGTACATTTGTTACAAATGATGAATCTACATTGACTCATCATAATCACCCCAAATCCATAGTTAATATTACCGGTTCAGTTCTTTTAAAGAGAATAATTTTTATAGAAGTATAGTGCATTTATTGCTAAGGAAAGATATCCATATTATTTTCACAGAAAACTAAAAATCTATCAATGACACCAGTGTTTAGATAGAAAATGTATATGCATAATAAAGCTGAAATGAATATATACCATCATGTAACGGTGGGAATCTTGGGATACTGGCAGAATCCATACATCATAAGCAAAATTTTCAGTAACTGGATTGGTGAAGACATCTGAAATTTGGGACTCACGCTATTATCTTGTTTTATGTTATGTTTAATATTTTTCTATAATTTAATGTATGAGAGCCTAATACCTGAATGTATTGGCAATATACAGTATACCAAGGCTGTTTTATTTGGCAGAGCGGTAAATGACTTCTCAGTACAGTTAAAGAGATGGAAGCTGTGATGAGTCTTGAGCTACAGCTGGATAAAGTTTCTCAAGAAAAAAGGGAAGAGGACTACTGAACTGTATGTTTTTTGAGTCTAGGGGCTTAAGAAGATGAAATAGGGTGAAGAGATTGAATCAGAAATCAGGAATTCTGAGCAAGAGTCACCTTTAGTCGATTAATTTCATGAAGTTGGAAAAGGAGGTGGGGGACACTAGGGAGACGGTCTTTGATGAGTCCTGTAGTCCCACTAGCTGTCACAGAGTAAGTTCTCTTTAAGAAAACTGTAGGTAATCAGAAGACCCCTCCCCTAGGCTCAGCCAGGTACTCAGTTAGGGTCCAGGTCCGACTGGAGGGCGGGGGGACGGAACTTGCGCACCGGTGTGCGTGTGCCCTCAGGGTCGGTGACGTCCCGCTACCGGGCACTTGTGAGGTAACAAAGGGAGACGCTGCGCGTCAAAGTCCAGAATCTGGACGTGCCGGATTGGCTCCAAGTAAAACACAGTCCTATGAAACGTTCTTGTAGAAACTGTCAGCCACCGCCAGGCCCCACCTCTCCCGGAGCCGCGGACATCTCACCGCCCCAAGAGGGAGCCCAGCCCACGACTTTGGCCGCTAGAAGCGCCCGCACGCACTAAAGCGCCTCCTACCGCGTGCCTCCGGAGCTTCTGAGAGGCGGGCCCGCGCCCACTGCGCAGGTGCAGGAAGCTGGCCCAGAGTTTGGAGCCAGGCCCTCGCAATTACGTCTCTGCCTCCGCAGGCGCTGCGAGCAGTTTACTTTTGAACAGGGGCCCCGCGCTCTTTCCCATTGGCGGATGCTACGCAGTTGAATGTTGCCAGGAGACTGCGCCTGCGCCCTGAGGCTCCGCGAGGCCCCGCCCCATCTGGGCACCTGAAATCCCTCAGGGCGGAGGAGGGCGGGGACGCAGAGCATCTCGGGGACGCCTAGCCTGGAGGCCGTAGAGCTGTTTCTGCCTGTGGAGTAGCTCTGTCTCTTCCTCCCCGGGGTGAGTCTAAGGAGCGTGCCTTTGGGTCCGAGAATACGACTTTGGGTCTCTGTTCTTTCCCTGTAGCACAGGCTGGTATACTGGGTGTATTTGGAGGAGAGTCCAGGGGCTTGCTGATGGAGATGGTGGGCATGAGTACTGCGTTTATTCTCTCTTGTCCCAGGTGGGGAGTTTGGGGAATCTCGTGTTCCTCCCTCCGGTATGGAACTGCATTTCTCTGTGAGGGAGCAGCCCTTTGTGGTGGAGGGTGAGAAGAGCGGCACTCCACAGAACTGGTCTGCCTTGCGTGGCTGGGAGGCGAAGGGCGCCGGGGCGGTGGAAGTGCATTAGGAGGGAGGCTCGGGAGGATTTGTCGTTAACCTTCGAGAAAGAGAAGGCTGTTATTTTGAGGCCCTTCGTTGTGAGAGATTCTCCTGAGACTTAACAGAGTGGGTGTAATTATGCCCATTTTACAAGTGTGAAACCTCAGTTCTGAGAGGCATTGGGAAAAACTGACCCAGGGTCCCACAACATTTAAATGGCAGAACTGAGATGTACGGAAGTAATAATGATGGGATACCCTAAATCAGAGTTTATTATTTTAAGCTGGCAAGATCTTTCAGTCCCATGGATGTTTCTTGTCTTCAAGTTAACTTTAAGCAGTCTAAAATGAGCGTGAATGTTTGCTCCGTCATCACCATTGTTGGCTAACATTTTTAAGAGCTCGTAAGATACTTGACGTTACAAAAAGAGGTCCTTTGTGACAGTTTATTTGGTCACAGAATTGTTGGGCTTTTCAAGGTACAGATGATACCTCTCCTGCACCAACTGTTGATATTTGTCACTATTTTTATAAAAACACAATGAGGCATAGAGGAGATAAACATTAGAGTGAAATAACCATTCCTATGATGTCATATTTAATACATTTTTTGAGAATGTAAATTGAAAACATTCAGATAAAATTATTTTAATTTTAGAATACGAATAAAAGAATCTGAAAAAGTTGGAGAAGATAAAGTATATTCAGTCGCTAAGCCAGAAGATCAACAAAGTAGGCAAGCTCTGAACCAGTAAGTGAATACAAAATAAATTTTCAGTAAATTTTTACTAAGTGTATGATTTCAAGTGTAAGTTGAGATTCTTTAATTAAAAAAAAAAAAAGACGCGTTGTATAAAATTCAAGCCGTCTAGGAGGAGCATAAAATGAAAAGTAAACAACTCCTTCATTTGACTTATAACTTGAAGTTAGTCACTTTTGTATACTCTTTCAGAAATTTTACAAGGATTTGTGTACATCTAAACACACAAATGGTATCATCTTATGCATACAGATCTGCAGGTTGCATTTATTGTTACCTGGACACCATTTTACTATCCATTTACATACTGGTTTGCATTTTTTTGATGATTATATAGCTATCCTTTGAAGTAAGGTACCATAACTTAACCTAGTCTGGCAAGGTGAAATTTTGATTTTAGGTAATGTTAAGCATTGCCTTTCAGCAGACATATTGCTGGATGTTTTCCACCAAATAGATTTTCACTGTGAAAAGTATTATGGAATAAGCAATGAAAACCTTAATTTCTCATTTCAGTTCCTGGTTAAATTGCATATATATATATATATATATATATATATATATATATATATATATTAGGTTGGGGAAATAGGTTAATGTGAAAATACAAGAACAGTGCAAATGGGCAGAGTTAAAGTCCTGTCTGACCATAGGAATTTTTTTTTTTTTAATTTGAAACTGTTATGGGAATCCTTCATTATTTTTGTATGTTTATGTGTATAAAAGTATTTTTAAAATCTTGCCCTATGTATATAGATGGCGCAATTGTAGTATTTCTAAAGTAATCTTTTTTTTTTTTTTAAAGCATTTATTTATTTTTTAGTTTGGAGAGAGAATGCAAGGTGGGGAGAGGGGCAGAGAGAGAATCTTAAGCAGGCTGCACGTTTAGCACCGAGCCCAATGTGGGGCTTGATCCCACAACCCTGGGATCATGACATGAGCTGAAATCAAGAGTCGGATGCTGAACCAACTGAGCCACCTAGGCACCTCTAAAGTAATCTTAAATTGCATTACAGATGCATAGTATCAGGGCCAAAATATGTGAGACCCAATCAAAATTTTTCCAGACTTATAGCTGACTCACACTGTAAGTTCTAGAGCAAGTCACTTAACTCTATAATGTGGTAAACATAATTTCTCTTCAGAGGTTGTAAAATGTAATGGATGTTTTATTACTGTTCATGTGTAGAGATGAAAGGCATTATTAGTGAATTAAAACTTAAAAAGTAGTTTACACACTAAACGGTTAATAGAATGGAAAATATTTTTTTTTGTATTGCTTAATTCTCCATAATCTATTATGTGTACTGACCATCCATAATATGCTAGTTGGACATTGTGGAGGCTCCATAGGAAATCAGCTTTCTGGAGAAAGACTGCATAAAAAGTTTAGAAATTCAGAAGTGTTTATTTTTGACACTGAAAGACAAATTTGTGAAATGACTTTTAAGTAGATGATTTAGCCTCAAATTTTTTTCTGAAAAAGATTTATTATATTTATTTCTTGGTGACTTTAAAAAGGGAAGCAGGAAATCTGGAAATAAGTTATTAGTGTTTTGGGGGGTTTTAGTACTCACTGGAGGAAAAGAACATTTTACATGGGTTACTTTTATTTTACTTCTTTGCTTTCTAAAAGTGTAAAATAATATAAATAGATTCTACAATTAATTTGGCAGCGGAAAGACTAGATAATAGGCAAAAACTTGAAAGTTTTTATTGTGTTGAAAATATGCATAAAATTTACCATTATAACCATTTTTAAGTATACAGTTTAGTGGCATTCATTACATTCACATTTCTGTTCAACTTGTCACGATCCATTGGCGTCAAACTTCTTCCATCTTCCCAACCTGGAACTAAACAATAACTCTCCATCTTGTCTCCCTCTAGCACTATTTCACTTTCTATCTTTGTGAATTGTTTACTATCTTCTATTATGCGTATTGTCCACATCCTTTATGATCATACAGTTTTTCTCCTTTGACTTAATAATTTCCTTTTTATTAAATTAATTTTACATTTCTGGGAAGAACCTCATTTTGGTCATTGTTCTGTATTCTTTTAATGTACTCTGGATTTGTTTTTGCTAATACTGTGTTCGGGATTTTAGAACAGTATCCATTTTTGAAATTAGTTGATTTTTAGTTTGTGTTTGTTAGGTTTTGGAGTCTTGTTATATTATCTATCTTCAGAACAAATGGCAAACTTTTTTTTTCTTTATTTTGAGAGAGATGGTGGGGTGGGAGGCAGAGAGAGAGAATCTGAAGCAGGCTCAAGTAACGTGGGGTCTTGATTCTACAAACCATGAGATCATGACCCAAGCCAAAACCAAGAGTCAGGTGCTCAGTTGACTTAGCCACATAGGTGCCCCATGTAATTCAGTCACTTTTCCCAAAATTTAGTTTTGTCATTACCTCTATGTTCAGATGATAGTTCCATTTCTCAAAGACCTTCCTTTTGGATCTGTCATCTTCTTCCAGATGACTTGTTCCCTGTACTTGCTGCACAGTTGTCCTGGATTTAATTTCACCATTAACGGAGTGAGAATTCTTGCTTTTCTTATTTCCCTGAGGTAGATTCTTTAGAAAGGGTAGATGAGTGTTCATTTTTAGGCCTCTCATGTCAACTGTCTTCAGTCTACCCTCAAAATTTATTCTTCTGGGTATAGAATTTTAGGTTGGAAGCCATTTTTTCCTGAGAACTTTGAGGCCATTCCTTCACTGCCTTCTAGTTTCCAGTGTTGTATCATGCATACAGCATAGCTAAATCTAAGATACTCATCCTAGAAAATATACATAGGTGAAGTTTTTTTCTCCTCTCCACCCTCCCCAAAAGTCTGGGCTGGATATGGAAAACTTCTGGTGCATAAAATGCTGTACTAGTTTTTGGAAGAATTAGCTTCTAAGCATGATAACCACCCATATCTTATGTTTCTCAGGCAATAACCAGTTATTTTACAGAGTTATTTTCAGCAAGGCTTGCTTCTGTTAACCAGTTCTGACTTGTCATAAATTTATTGTCTAAAACCCGTTTTTAGTAACTCAGCAAGAGGGTAGTCTTCCAAATTCCAAGAGTGGAATTTGATTTATGTATCTTCAAGTTATCCACAAATTTCTAATTATATGAAAGTTAACTTTTGAGACCATATTTGCTTTCTATGTGAACTCAAGAGCTGACATTTTCTTTCAATAATGTTGTGAATATCTTCATTCTAAACGAAGTTGAGCTTTTGGGGTCCCCAGATGGGTTCTCAGGGAAAATGTTTTCTAGCTTTTGACAAATAGGGGACTTTGGAGGGAAGGGTTAGATTCTGTTTTAGGCCTAATTTTGGTACTTAAAACATTAAATAATAATAAATCTAAATTGAATATGTGTCTACTGCTCAAATGTTATTTTTTCCCTGCAAAGTGCTGTTTTGTTTATTCCTTCATTATGAATTCTGACATCACTAAAGTCCTCTGAGAATAGGTTTGTTTTTCATGGATCGTTTTTGTGTGATTAGAGCTGTCACGAAGGCTTCCCAACATGCATTCACTTGCATTTACCTGCAGTGAATGTCATCTTCTGTACTGTTGACCAGTTACTTTAGTTTCCTGGAATGCTTCACAGTTTAAGCTTACTATCTATGTGACACATCTTGGCCCATTAGGGTTCTGAATATTGTCAATCTGAATGGAGTATTTTTTGATAGACTTGTAGACTCTCCTATTATAGCTCTTCCTAAACAAAATAGAGATTTTGCTATTTAAAAAACAAAACTAAGATCTGACATTTCATTAACATTGCTGTCTTAAGAGGGAGTATTTATTCAACCAATATTGAGTAATACCTACTATGTGTCAGGTTCTGTGTTTAGACATAATTCCTGCCCTTATTGCAGGCTTACATTTTAATATATAGGTAAATGTTACAAAATTCTCTTAAATAAACTCCAGTTAAGTGCTGTAAATTGGCAGTACAACATTCAGTGAGATTAATACGGGATCTAATTTGGGGAGGAGGCTGGGCCCAATGAGACTTGAATAAGAGTTTGATTTCCAAAATGATGAAAGAACATAGAGCCAAAAAATCTAAAGAGGTTTTTAATAATTAAAAGTACAGAATTATTTGTAGATGTCTTCTTAAACTTTTAAAAGTTAGTTTTGTAGAGGATGATTTGGTGTAACCTTTATATTTTACATGAATGGGACTTGGATTTTTTTGTTTTGCTCTTTAAGGTTCTCTAAATGGTGGTGTAACTTGATCTTTCTCTATCAGGGCTAAGTAGGTCCTGAAGATTGTGGCTTGCATTTGAAAACCGGTACAAATTAAGACTTTAAGAGGAGGTAGGGTGCAAAATTTCAGGCTTCTGTTGCTGGAAATGTCAAAAATATCTTGCAAAGAGGTTACCACTGCTGGGTTTCTTTCACTAAGAGGACTGAGGATGTTCTTTACCACTAACACTCTACTGGTCAGTAATTCATAGTTAACCCCAATCAACACTTCATCTTGAAAACTGATTTTTATTGGAAGGACTGAGGGTTCAAGCCCTGAATCGGGCTTTGTGCTGACAGCTCAGAACCTGGAGCATGCTTCAGATTCTGTCTCCTTCTCTCTCTGCCCATCCCCCACTTGCACTCTCTCCAAAATAAATAAACATTAAAAAAATTTTTTTTCCCCTTCCAAATATTCAAATTACTACTTTGGAATATTACACTATGCTGATTTTGGGCTTTAAGCATACTAGTATTTCAATTCAAGAAGCTAGGAAATTTATAGTAGCAGTAATTAGAGAAATTATTACTTTTTTTTTTTTAGAAACTGTTGTTGAGCCAACTGGGAATATGAATTCTCTTGAATTAAAGACTATAATTTTGCTAATGCCAATTTGTTATTTAGGCGAAATGTTTAATCTTGCTTGTATTTGCATCATTAAAAAAAATCCTAACCTTTAAGTATAATTGATGCATATTACATTAGTTTCAGGTGTACAATACAGTGTTTCAACAACTCTATATATTATGCTATGCTCACACAAGTGCAGCTACCATGCTAATACATGTAATACGCTATTACAATACCAGTGAGTGTATTCCCGATGCTGTATCTTTCATCTTTGTGACTTATCCTACAACTGTAAGGCTCCTAACCTTCCAAGCCCCTTCACCCATTTCACCATCCCACCCACCCCTGCCCTGCAACCACCAGTTCTCTGTATTTGTGAGTCTGTTTTGGTGTTTTTGTTTGCTTATTTGTTTTTTTGGATTTCCACATGTAAGTGAAATCATATGGTATTTAGTCTCATTTCACTTAGCATAATACCTTCTAGGTTCATCCATGTTGTTTGTTGCAGATGGCCAGATCTGATTTTTCAATGGCTGATTGTTATTCCATTGTGTATCTATATATATTATACACATACATATATAAATACATGTATCTATATATACATATGCACATACCCACCAGATCTTATCCATCACTTATTGATAGACACTTGTGTTACTTCCATATCTTGTCTATTGCAAATAATGCTGCAGTGAACATGGGGTATATATATCTTTTTTAAACTTTTTTTTTTTTAATGTTTATTTATTTTTTGAGACAGAGAGAGACAGAGCATGAACGGGGGAGGGTCAGAGAGAGGGAGGCACAGAATCTGAAACAGGCTCCAGGCTCTGAGCTGTCAGCACAGAGCCCGACACGGGGCTTGAACTCACGGACCGCGAGATCATGACCTGAGCCGAAGTCGGCCGCTTAACCGACTGAGCCACCCAGGCGCCCCGGGGTATATGTATCTTTTTGAATTAGTGTTTTTATTTTCTTTGGATAAATACCTAGTAGTGGAATTACTGGGTTGTATTGGATTTCAATTTTTAGTGTTTTGAGGAACCTCCATTCTGGTTTCCAGTGATTGCACCAGTTTACACTCCACCAACAATGCAGGATTCCTTTTTCCACATCCTCCACACTTATTTCTTGTCTGATACCAGCCATTCTGACAAACTTAAGGTCTTGTGGTTTTTGAGGTGCGTTTCCCTGATGAGCAGTGATGTTGAACATTGTGTCTGTTGGACATCTGGATGTCTTTGGAAAACTGTTAATTCAGATCCTCTGCCCATTTTTTAATTGGATTGTTTTTTGGTGTTGGGTTAAAGAAGTTCCTGATATATTTTGGATATTAACCTCTTATCAGGTATCATTTGCAAATGTCTTCTTCCATTGCCTTTTCATTTGCTGGGCAGAGACTTTTTATTTTGGTGTAGTTTTAATTTGTTTTGGTTTCTCTTGAGACCTATTGAGTAAAACGTTGCCAAGGCTGATGTCCCAGAGACTATTTTCTGTTTTCTTTAAGGGAGTTTTCAGGTTTTATGTTTAGGTCTTTAATCCACTTTATTTTTGTATATGGTGTAAAGAAAGTGGTTTCATTCTTTTGCACATAGCTGTTCAGTTTTCCTAATATAATTAAAGAGATGATCTTTTCCTTACCGTATGTACTTGTCTCCTTTGTCCATAGATTGCCCATGTCAGTGTCCTTTGTGTCTGGTTTTATACTAGTATCATACTGATTACTACAGCTTTGTAGTTGTTTGAAATCTGGGACTGCGGATTATTTTGGCACTCAGGGACCTTTGTGGTTTCATACAAGTTTTAGGCTTGTTCTAGTTCTATGGAAAGTACTGTTCGTATTTTGATAGAGATTACATTGAAGCTATAGATTGATTTAGGTAGTATAGACATTTTAACAATATTCTTCCTATCCAGGAGTATGGCATGTTTTTCAATTTATGTCATCTTCAGTTTCTTCAATTGGTGTTGAATAGTTTTCAGAGTACAGGTCTTTTACTTCCTTGGCTTATTCCTAGGCATTTTATTCTGGTAAATGTGGGTGTTAATTTCTTTCTACCACTTTAATAGAGTCTTTAGGGTTTTCTATATAAAGTATTGTGTCATTTTAACTTTTTCTACCAATATGGATGCTTTTTATTCCTGTCTGCTGTGGCTAGGACTTCCAGTTATTTGTGCAGTTTTGATTTTAGCACTTAGGATGTAAAAAGTTGCACAGATGATCATTAAGTAGACTTCAGTAGAACACTGAATTTTACTTTTGCATAGCAACAAACTTAAATAACTTTAATTTGAAGAATTATAAATTAGAATTGTTTAGCATGTTTTTTTGTCCCAAGGTGAGTAAATTTTTAAAAATGATCAGTCTGTTACATATTAGGAGTTGTATTACTCAGAAAGCTGCATTTAAAAAATCTTAAACATCTTATTGTCTTTTAAATGACAAGCACAATATATTAATAGTTTTGAGGTTAACACCTGAAACTTTACATAGTATGTACAGGTATCTTTGTTGTAAGTAGGCTTAAAATATTTTTTTCTCTTGACAGGAAATGCACAATTTTGAGGACGAGTTAACATGTCCCATTTGTTACAGTATTTTTGAAGATCCTCGTGTACTACCATGCTCTCATACGTTTTGTAGAAATTGCTTGGAAAATGTTCTTCAAGCATCTGGGAACTTTTATATATGGAGACCTTTACGAATTCCACTCAAGTGCCCCAATTGCAGAAGTATTATTGAAATTGCTCCAAGTGGTATTGAATCTTTACCTGTTAATTTTGCATTAAGGGCTATAATTGAAAAGTACCAGCAAGAAGACCATCCAGATATCGTTACCTGTCCTGAACATTACAGACAACCATTAAATGTTTACTGTCTCCTAGATAAAAAATTAGTTTGTGGTCATTGCCTTACCATAGGTCAACATCATGGTCATCCCATAGATGATCTTCAGAGTGCCTATCTGAAAGAAAAGGATACACCTCAAAAACTGCTTGAACAGTTAACTGACACACACTGGACAGATCTTACTCATCTTATTGAAAAGCTGGAAGAACAGAAATCTCATTCAGAGAAGATGGTCCAAAGTGATAAGGAAGTTGTCCTCCATTATTTTAAGGAGCTTAGTGATACATTAGAACAGAAAAAAAAAACCTTCCTAGCTGCTCTTGGTAATGTTAGCAATCTGATTAATCAAGAATACACTCCACAAATTGAAAGAATGAAAGAAATAAGAGAGCAGCAGCTTGAATTAATGACACTGACAACATCTTTACAGGAAGAGTCTCCACTGAAATTTCTTGAAAAAGTTGATGATATCCGCCAACATGTACAGATTTTGAAACAAAGACCACTTCCTGAGGTTCACCCTGTTGAAATTTATCCTCGAGTAAGCCAAATACTGAAAGAAGATTGGAGCAGGACAGAAATTGGACAAATTAAGAAACTTCTCATTCCTGAAATGAAAATTTCTTCAAAGAGGATGCCATGTTCCTGGCCTGATAAGGATGAAAAAGAAGTCGAATTTTTTAAGATTTTAAACATAGTTATAGTTACATTAATTTCAGTGATACTGATGTTGATCCTTTTTTTTAACCAACACATAATCACCTTTTTAAATGAAATCACTTCAATATGTTTTTCTGAAGTCTCTCTATCTGTTTACCAAAGTTTATCCAACAATTTGCATGATTTAAAGAATAGGCTATGTCACACTTTATATTTACTGAAGGAATGCATGTGGAAAATATTTTCTCATTGAAAATTCAAATCTGAATTGCTTAAATAGGCTTATTCTGTACAGCAGAGACCAACAATTGCTAAAGGGAGAAATAGGGTAGCATGGATAAATAGCAAACTAAATTATCAGAGTTGCAAATACAAATACATAGAAATGTTAAACCATCCATGTGTCTTAGATGGAAATATGTCAGAAATGACACAGAATGTGTCTAAACTAGAATATCTAGTAACTAATACATTATCCTATTTTATTTTGCTTGATGCTGACTTTATCTCTGTGACATTGAAATATTTCTGTACCAATCCTGTCTTTTAGCATTATTATTTTTTACATCATGCTGCAGTGGTTGGTTAGTGTTGCAGTTCTTTATGTATACATAGCTTTTAGGTTAAAAGATGGCAAAATCCCTCAAGTGCATATATACCTGTATTTTGATGTGGCCCCAGAGCCTTTGGGCAAAACCAGGAGGGTGAGTAGAGGGGTGAGTAGAGGTTTTAATTCAAGCAGCAGTCTAAAAGTGGTAAGGGATTGCTTACATTAAGGTTGTTTCTGATCAAACATACATGATACATTAATGTATTTTAGATAAACATTGCATTAAATCTATCAACATTCATTCCTAACAAACTGCTGATTTTGGAAATGTGTTAGGGAACAGTGACCTTTCAAATAATGGTCTTTATGGTTTGTGTAAATGACTTTTGGTTAGTGTTTTATTTAGTCTTACCAATTTTTGGATAAAAGCTCTAAAAACATGTTATTAGAATAGTATATTGTTGATATATTCCATCCTCAGAGTTAGGTGGCATCATGTTAACTATATTCGTCTTAAAAATGGTCTTAAGTTTTCTGCAATTTGCTTATGTGAATATCAAAGTACCAATAATTTAATCTTTTCTTGAATTTTGCTTAAATGGGAGTCTGTAGTTATTACGTCAAATCCCTTTAATTAGTTCCCTTATTAACAGGGACTGGAATTGTGCTTGTGGTAGGACTTTTGGCTCTTTTGTCCATGGAACTGTAAATATAAGGTTATTTGCTTTCCAGAAATCCTAAATCAGTTGTTGCTCTTGGATCCATTCCCTAGGAGTCCTACCTAGCTCAGACTTTCAGGTCATATTAGGGAATGCTCCTGGTCCTAGGTCACATATAAAATGTCATATATTAATATGACTATAGTTCTAAATTACTCCTGTTTGTTTAAGTTTTGAGAGAGAACATGAGCAGACTCCAGGCTCTCAGCTATCAGCATAGGGCTCGACGTACGGCTCGAATTCCCTAGCTGTGAAATCACAACCTGAGCTGAAGTCGGATGCTCAACTGAACCATTCAGGTGCCCCTACTGAGAAGAAGTCTTAACACAAAAATGGCTGGCTGTATTAAATTTATGATCAGAATTATCTAGCACAATAAACAGTCATGTGGGCAAAGAACATTTGCAGGTATTAATGGAAGTGGAGGGGAGAGAGATTGAAGTATCAAAATATACAACATAGTAACTTTACGCTGAAGTTGCATTAAATTTTAGTCACAACACAAAAATGCCATGTATTTTTTGAGTACATGTATTAATTAGTAAGCACTGATATTAGCTATTATGGGTCAAGCACTTACTGAAGTAGGTATTCTACTTTTTATAGATAAGGAAACCCCAAAGTAATTTGTCCAAGGCCATACAGCCAGCATATGGGAGAACCCATGTATTATTTTGATAATTATTTTGAAAGTCCTGTCATGGTATCAAAACTTTAAGCCAGTAGTTTTATTTTTATTAAGGCTTCTAATTTATATCTAAGAATCATTTGTAACTAAAAATTGAAGCATATACCTATGAACATTTTAGGTTTGACAAACATTTTGTAACTTGCCCGTTCTTAGTAGACAAAACTATTTACAAATTTTATGTAGTATGCATGAACATAGTCCCGAATACAAATAACTGATTCTTACACATGCTGCCTCTGTTTTGTAATTTTTACCAGGAGTATGAAATTATAAAATTTAAAGTATATAATCTTGATATATTTCTAAGTTTTATGTACAACAAATATTTTAATAAACTTATTTTGCTACTTTACTTGCACTGAGTGTCATAATAAGGTGCTCAAACTCAGGAGTGGTATCTTTGGAATTCATATAGGTTATGGGAATTAACTCTACATGTAGTAAGAGTTAAATTCCATTTACCACTACTCTCACCCACTGAAAAAGCATAATTATAGTTTTACTTTTCCCTTCTATATAATCTTGATTTAAAACAAATGACCATACTGGAGTTTCAGATTTTACTTTATTTAAGTACATGCTAATGTATTTACATATTTAATGACTGTTATGATACAAACCATCTTTGTTGGATCTTTTTAGTACCTAAACAATCATCATTGAATAGAGAGCTTTTAGTTTTAATTCCTTAGGATCAATATCTAGAAATCAAATAGGGCAAAGACTTTTTAATCAATATCAAGAAATTCCTCTTGAAAACCAAGTGGTTGCCAACTTTCAGTAGCACTATAACACTGAGCTAATGCAGTGTAGAAAATTAAAGAGGGGGGAAAAAAACCCCTGGTAATTGGATAGACAAACAGCATATAATTTCCATTTATACTAAGGAAGCTGTTAACCCCTACATATTTTTATGAGGCAAAGATAGTGGGTATTCATTCCTTTTCAACTGAGGAGTTATCTCAGATACTGTCTCAGTTTGCTGGTTCTCTTAGAAGTTTTAAACACAAGTTTTAGAAAAGCACATAAAATACTTAACTTCTCATCATGCAGAATTCACAACGGTTTAAAAAACAAAACATTCCCAGTGTTTGGGTTGTAGATACAATGATTGTCTAAATTAGTAATTTAAATAGAATACCTTAAGAATTTATTCAATTAAGTAGCTGGTAGGCTTTTCCCGTGTAGGTCAAAGATGCATGATGGTATGCTTGCTGCCTCTTGGTTAATATGCTCTAGTTCAGAACTTTATGGCTCATCAATGAACTTCCTTTTAACTCTGCTGGCAACAACTTCGGACTAAGGACAAATCACCTCACCCTGCAGGCATCTTACTTTCTCCATAGCCTGCTGCTGTTTACCAAACTGTCAGATTCTTACAGCCTAAGAAGCAGGTACAGAGAATATTTTATTAGACTTATAACATGTCTCCTAATAGCATAAAAACCAGTTACATGATCCAGTTTAGGAGTATGTACTTCATATTATAATCCTTTACAAAGAGAAAATCTCAATAATACAATAGGCTGAATCTATGTGAATTCAGTTTGAGGAATCCTGGATATAAACGAGTTCAACAAAGTCCTTTAGATGCGATTTGTTTTGGGTTTACTGCAACACTTTTTGTTATGTTGTATGTCTTGTAAATTCCAATAAGTCTGTCTGAGATCTCAAACATATTATTTCGAAGAGAAATTATTATGAACTGGGCATTTTTTGTTTGTTCCTAAAGAGGAAAAAAAAATAGGTTAGAAGTGTTCAGTAATAACAAGTATTCCTGTAATCAACACCTAAATTTGACTTCCCTGAAATGGTTTTTTTTGCAATTCAACATTACTTTGATAATTAACATGAACATGAGTGATGGCATGGATAATTCACGACACAGTAGTTAAGAGAAGCATTTGGGTTATTTTTGGAAGCATGGTTGCCAGAAGTCTTCTAGTGGAGATAATATCTAGGCAGAAGATCAGAGATTCTAGTTGTGTTTTTTGCTACTTTACATTATCAATTTATATTTTACTTGTCCAAAAAGGAAGTACTTGGTTCAAATAAAGGACCTGGTCTCTGATATCATAGGACATGGGGAAAAGCTCAAAAGTAAGAAGTAAGTCCATGAATTCCATGTGTATTGTTAGGGAACCTAATAAAATTCTCAGAACAAAAACCTCTAAATGATTACTTACATATATATAAAATGCAACAATGGACACATTTTTAAAATCCAGGGCTGCATCAATTTCGTCCATGAAGTACAGGGGAGTGGGTTTGTAGTGGTGAAGAGCAAATACTAAAGCCAATGAACTAAGTGTTTTCTCTCCTCCTGAAAGATTGAAGATCTTCTTCCAACTTTTCTTAGGTGGTCGAACACTGAATTAAAAAAATCTCTTATTAGTCAAATTACTTGCACAGGTAACGACTTCATGGTCGGTTTTCCATAAATGGCTTCTACCACCTTCCTCGGGGATCTCTAATTTGCTTTTCACAAATCTAAACTTTTTGGGGTTATTTTATAAAAATGTTATTGGAGGATGAATACACAGGAACACCTACCAAAATCTTAAGATTTAAATAGCAAGTCAGTAAATATTTCTTGCTATTCTTCCATTTCCAGCACATATTTTTTTGCTTTGCAATTTCAAAATCTTGATGTTAAGTTGAAATGGCTCAAAAATTAAAAGATGAACTAAACAAATATTGTGTAAAATTAAATAATTGCCGCTTGCCCAAGATTTATGCTAACAAACTGCCAGTATGTAAATGAATTAGTATTTATCATCAAATAAAACACTCAAGCTGTAGCTCTAACCTTCACATCCCACCCCTAAAATATAGAGTCTGGAGAATATGTAGAGATATGTTAACAAGAGGATCCAAAACTCAGTACAAATTACAAACCTGAACATGATTCCTTCAGAGAAAGGATCCAAGCTGTCTACAAGCTCCAGTTCAGCATCACCTCCCAAAGTAAGCATTTGGTAATTTTCCTTTAATTTATTTGTTATTATATAAAAACCTGCCATGAATTCATTAAGCCTTTGTTTCCGAAGATCTTCATATGCCTGTCTAAAATGATCTCTTTCACAAGTAATTTTGTCCAATTCTGCTACCCGCTGTAAATATAATTCTTCCTATGAAAAAAATATCATGAGAAAAATACCTATTCAGTTATTCATTTGAGATGAGAGCTAATGCTGCTAATTATATAAAATTAAAGTTGACAATTTAGGCTAAGGACTAAAAAGAATCTGACTAAATCATTAACAGTTTATTCATACCTTCTTTTTATACTCTGCAATGGCACCAAGGTTTGGTTTCATTTCATGACACTGGGCTTCTAAAAGTGCAATTTGATTTGTTATAGAATCTGGATTCTTGATGGCTTCAAGATCCTGTGGGCTCAGAACTGCAATTTCTTCAAGAGGATTATCTTCTATGGGATGCAATGATATTCTTGAAATCTAAAAGTTCAGTGTAGATGAGCATTAGGGATGTCACAACTGTAAGTTATTGTTTAAAAAAATCATATCAATATGACAAATTACCTATCTACTAAAACAATATATTCTAAGGAATTGTGGCTAATTTCTGTAGCAATTATTTTTCAAAAGACTTCAAGAAAAATATTTCTAGTGTTCCGAAGTGTTCATGAAGTCTTCTGTTAAATCTCTGAATCAGCCTTGGGGTGAAGATGGTGAGTAATGTACCCATTATTCAGATTTTTCTGTATATAACAATTACTGTATGTTATTGATTATGTTCTCTATAAATCTAGTGATTTTCTCTCGGAATTAAGAATCATAACGTCTCAAAAGTACACACACACAAAACAAACAAAAAACAGCTCTTTTTCATAAAGGATATTTTAAAGTTACATTTAACTAAATGATAACAATCTTACCTCTTTTTGCCAATATTTTATTTTAGAATTATGTTCAGCAATGTGACCATCTATTTGTTCAAGTTTCAACTTAATACTAAGTGCATCTTTTTGAAGTGCATGTTCATTTTCTTGAATTATTTTTAGTTCTTGAAGTAGATTACGATGTTCTTTCTGGATCTCTGGTAAGGATTCCTAGAAACCAAGAAGAACTACTATAGGTAGGACCCTCCCAAATGGAAAGAACAGGTATTTTCACATTAGAGATGAAGTTAGCAATCTCTTCCTATGTCCCATGCATTTTACAGTTTATTTACAGAAAAGTTACAATACAGTACTCATTTTTATTGTACAATACAGCTACAAAAGTTTTGACCTATTGTGTGCTTATTACTGTGTAAGCTGATGTCACATATCCCAACCCTTTAAATTGCTTCAAATACCATTCACTCCTGTCTTCAAATCTTACCTCTGCAGCATTTGTATTTTTCACAACCTCTGCTGCTTTGTCCTCAAGACTTTTTAGTTCTGCTGTTAAATCATCTACTTCTTTCTCAGTATCTTTTATTTCTTTCTCTGTGCGAAAGACGGAGTCTTGTGCTTTTTTAAGATTTCTAAACAAGCAAAATGATGTATTAAAGATGTAGTAACGTGTGATTTATCTTGCTCTGACAACTTACCAACAAATGCCATATTAATGAGACATTTTTCTATCACAGATGTTAAAATTTATGATTTACTAAAACCATCCTTGAATTGGTTTTTATGTTATACATAACACTTCTGAGATGTTGTATATTAACCTCTCAGTATAAGGTGATGAAACTTAGATCATGAAGCAAAGTTGTCCATTGAATTATTATTTTGTCTTGTCTTATCAGACTGGAGATTCTTAAATCTCTACACCCATGAAGTTATACACTCAAATAAAAAAATACCTCCCAGTTGGGGCAACATGTGCTTCCCAAGGAGGGCAACAAGGACTATTTTTTCCCTTAAAAAAGTTACTTCTACTTTGACAAATGTGTTTAGGCAAACTTCTGCTCCTAACATAAACAAATGGCTTATTAGTGCTGTATCTCTGAACCAAATACACAAATGAACCAGATAATCAATATGCAATCTGTTATAATTTTAAGATAAAAGAAACAGTTGTTTACATTTCAACATTTTGTATACCTAAATTTAGCTCTAATTCTTTAGAAACAACAATAAATATTCTAAAAATTAATTTAAAAACATGATCTATGAGGGGCGCCTGAGTGGCTCAGTCGTTTAAACTTCTGACTTTGGCTCAGGTCATGATCTCTCAGTTCATGGGTTTGAGCCCTGCATCTGGCACTG